ATAAGATGGGCGAGTACTCGAAAGCACTTTCATCGTTTGAAAGATCACTTGAAATCCGAAAATTAGCTCTCCCTCCGAATCATCCTGACTTTGCTCAATCCTACAACAACATCGCTTCAGTGTATTTTCACATAGGCGAGTACTCGAAAGCACTTTCATCGTACGAAAGATCACTTGAAATCTTCAAAATAACTCTTTCTTCGAATCATCCCGACTTGGCTACTTCCTACAACAACATCGCTTCAGTGTATTCTCATATGGGCGAGTACTCGAAAGCACTTTCATCGTTTGAAAGATCACTTGAAATCCGAAAATTAGCTCTCCCTCCGAATCATCCTGACTTTGCTCAATCCTACAACAACATCGCTACGATGTATAATAACATGGGCGAGTACTCGAAAGCACTTTCATCGTTTGAAAGATCACTTGAAATCTGCAAAATAGCTCTCCCTCCGAATCATCCCGACTTTGCTCAATCCTACAACAACATCGCTTCAGTGTATGATAAGATGGGCGAGTACTCGAAAGCACTTTCATCGTTTGAAAGATCAATTGAAATCCGAAAAATAGCTCTCCCTCCGAATCATCCAGACTTGGCTACTTCCTACAACAACATCGCTTCAGTGTATTTTCACATGGGCGAGTACTCGAAAGCACTTTCATCGTACGAAAGATCACTTGAGATTTTGAGAAAGTCGGTGCCTTCTACTCATCCTCATTTGGTAGTTGTGAAAAGAAACATTGAAAATTTAAGAAACAGGTTTTAGTAGTTTTATGTTATATTTCTGCAAAAATAAAATTCTTGAGATGTTAGTTTTGATGAGAATTCTCATCGTTGTCTTTTTTTTGGGATAGGGAAGTTGAATCAGAGTTGCATCATCTTTACGAGCGATGCTTTAGATTCCGGTTATATTTAGCAACTCGAAAGTTGCTATTGCGAAAGGGCACGCACGAGTGTGGGAGTGGATATAGGTATCGGTGCGAGGTCGGTTATGGGTGCATGTGAGGCAGTTAGCCGGGCAACACCGGGAGTGAGATACACAGTACCCATTAGACTCGCATGCACATCACGGTCACACATCTGTACCCCCAGTCACATTCATATGCACAGTCTTATTTTAAGAATTATTCAATTGAAGAGAAATCTTTTTGTTTACTTGTGGTGAATGTATATCCTTCGGATTTTGCAAACGATTGCCGAAAAGCTGTTACAATAGATGATCTGTCTGTAGTTGTACAGAAATTTTATGGAGTTACATTTGATAATCTAGTGAAAGCTAAAATATTTAAAGCATACTGCACGATTGCATGGTAAATCCGCCAGCTCTCAGTCTTCGTTTTTCTATATTATAGAAAGATAGAACTTGAAGTTTTACAGCTTTCGGTAAATTTAGTTTTCTATTTTTTGAACAGAAAAAAAGTTTTCCGAGATGACCTTATTTTGAGGCCTATGGGTTTTTTTATAGGTATTCAGTGTTTCGGATGACAATCGTAATGTGTATAGTTATTTTTTTTTCTTTTAATCTGGATATCAAAATTAATAATATAGATTGAAGCAGTTTTTCACGTTCTACAAAACGATGCTAGGACAATTAGTCGCACGGACAATTCGTTGAAAGACAGTTCGCTTCAATGAAACAAATCAATCAAAATTAGTATCTATTTTTTAACCATGAAGTGACTTATTCATTTAAGTTTGACGCATGTAATTCGATGGCCATAAAAATCATTAGAAATATAACTAATAACTCAACTTCGACTTTTGATCTGGTACAGTATAACAGCCTTCTTCTGCCTATAAGACCTTAGTTTTTTCGAGCTATACAAGTGATGAAAGTTGCCTATAGTAGTGGAAGTAGAAATGCACATTTTTTAACTTTATGCTGCAGGTCAAGATTTCTGATAATGAGAAAATATCTTGGAAAGACTAACAAATTTTAGCGTTGAATAAAGAACAGCAGCATTGATGCCATCAAAACTTTTAACGAATTTCTATTTTCAAATCTTCACGTTTGATGTACAAATTCTATTATTTTAGGAAGCATCGCCTGTTATTGTATACATATAAACAATAGTTTTCAAAAAAAAACATGGAAAAGTCTTACTATATAAACATGTAATACTTTCTAAACTCTATCGAATCTTTGTTTTACAATTAGTGCAGGTTTATACTAAGCAGATTAGCCACGAATAATATCTATATATTTGATCCGATTCTATTTTATTCTAGTGTGATACTAATCTAAGATGACAATGGCACATAGTCTCAAAGCGAATGATACGTCTGCATTATATTATTAAAACATGAGAATTCGCTCTGTTAGAAAACTCCATCGATAGATGAAGATACTGTTATATAGAATTAGTTCCTCATTTGAAAGGCTTAGATCCTAAAGGCTTCTAAAATACCGAGCATCAAACAATCGAAAACAAATTATTCATTTCGAATAATGCTTAAAACCAGGTCCATGCTTTTGACGAAATAATTTAGTGATACTTAAAGAATTGCTCGAATACTGTTGTAGAAGGTTTAGTTTTATTTTTTTAATAGCATAAATTCACCCTAATTGTGTTGTTTCAATTCATGTTGAAAAAATTGTAATTAATTTTATTAATAGCCTACAACCCACATATCTCACAGTTCTGGAATTAAAAGGAAGATGAATCAAACTTCGAATCGGATGTTCTAAAACTAGCAACTAATATTCTTTTAATAGAGAAATACTTTTCTTGACAGAAGTTGAACTAGTGTCTGATGCAAGCTAAACATTTGTTCCAAGTTTTTTTGAAAACTATTGTATATGTATATATATAAAACTAATCGAATTGAGTTATTGATTCATACAATGTGAGGAATAAGCCTGATGATAAATTGTAATCGAAGATTTTTGATATCCTATTGATATTAATTATGGAGGAGACCAAGTGGACTTTTTTTCT